ATATATATATATATATATATATATATATATATATATATATATATATATATATATATAACTAATATATATGTGTATATAAAACTACAAGCATACATACACTGGCGAATACCACGTCAATGCTCCGCACTTTACCATCGCATCAATGGCACAATCTCCTTCAATGCGTCTTTACGTACAAACACTAACAAAAACACCTGTGGCTGCCAGTGGCACTATTATGCGAACCCGATAGTAGGTGGGGCCCAAAAAAATACTATAAGAAACAGGAAACTCAATAAGACCTCACTGCCACTCGAATCCCCAGAAAGTGTCTCAAATCAGACCCACCGGTGACAGGGCATGGATGGTAGGAGTGTATGCACAATACGCGCAATGAATGACATACTCTTAAACCAACCAATAACTATAAACTAACAAACCAGTATGCGAGAGACATCTCAATGATAAAGGCGTGCGCTTCGCCACTCCTTTGCTGACCGTGATAGAGTGAATATATCACGATAACCTCCATGTAACAAAACGCGAATGATTGCATATCTGCACAGGCATGCATACATGAGCATGGCATTCTGCTGTATGCTGTAGGGCAAGCTAGCTGCGTTCTGTATAATCCGGTCATGCACGAGGTCAGGTTGCATACCTTCGTGCCTCATCTCTGTTCAAATAGCTGAACTCTGGTACGCCATTGACGAAGACGGTGGGGAAGATCCTGAGAATCGCCAGGTAGTCTGCCACTCCTCTGTAGGGAGAAAACGGTAGAGATGACTACGCTATTCAGCCGATCCGTTGCAGTGATACTCTATCCCGGGGGAAAGTTTAAAAGTTTATTGATACGGTTTGGATTGTGTTTCCACTGCATTACAACTCCGTACAGTGCCCACACGGCAGAACTCCGTTCAATTCCCTCTTACACATTCATGGGTAATAAAAGACAACCCGAATTGGCGGATCTTGTCGTCATAGGAGTCAGGTACGCAACAGAACAAAGACAGATACAACAAACATAACGTTTAAGACTCAATAACACCTGCATATACATACTATGCATACCTTGCATATGTAATCATTTGCTCACCAAGTAAAACGCTGCACTGAAATCCTAAAAGCATACCATACCGACCTGGTATGAACACCAACATACTTGCCCCAGCCGCACAGCTCTCGAAACTCAAACAGCGCCGCCCCGTGCTGGTAACTGCCTCGAGGCACATGACAATCCCTCCCGTTCCGCACAGCAATGGTCTCGTCCACCTTGATAGCCACTGAATTATCACACATCTGTGAGAACCTACAAGGGCGTCACACAGTAAGTTTTTGTACCGTAACTGTAATGCGTTTCCGTTTCCAATGCGTACTTGGATATCTTGCCTGAAGACTAACGCTTGGTTTTTCTGAGGACATGTGCCGATTGAAAATTCCATAGGCGCCATGTTCTGAAGGTCATCGATTTCGATAGCGCGAATGCATGTCATGTGATTTGCAAGTCTCACAAAGTCACAATATCAGATATTCAAGTATAAGGCGATGGTCCTTGATGGTCCTTGCTACACGCGTGCAAGCTCATGTGTTTACTTGACATAATTTTACAGTGCGCAGAAATAGCACTGATATGTACCATCAATGAAATTATCCGAACCTACGCAGATATTTGAAGAGTCTACTGCATTCGCTGGACGTTGTAGAGCCATACAGGAACGTGTGTGCATCGCTCCACTAAGCGCACCTGCAGTGCTTTGGGTACGCAGGACATCATCACATAATCTTTCCACCAAAAACAGAACCGGAATGGTATGAGCGTGGAATGCCATATGCGCAACCCGCAGACCACATAGACCGGTCTGGGTGAATAGTCCACCTGCTCGAGTCTATTCTCTAATCACTAACAATCGCAAATTGTATACAATTTGTCCCCCAAATTCAGGTGCGAATTTAGAACAGGGCCAGCTGATATATCGGTAGCCCCAGTATGCCCCTATCAATAGCCACACCTACCGCTTGTGCAAGTCCCCAGACGGCTCCGTAGAATTCAGGCTATCGTAGTAGACTTTGTCCGGCCTCTGCTGTGTGACTTTCCGGTGGTCGATGCCCTCGAGATTCAGAACTTCCACTGTATCTCTATAGTGTACCGTGATGGTTTGATGTGAACGTGAGTACCGTTTTTCCATAGACTTTCTATACTTATATACTATTGAACTGCCCCCTTTAAATGAAATATATGAGGAAGGCCCACACACCTCACCTCAGAAAGTCTATAAAGGGCAGGAAAGCGCTCCGATTGAGACCATGTAGGTAGAGCAGCTCCGGAGGTCTATTGGAAGTCATGGTCACAATCACCCCGTGATCGCGCATGAGTACTTCAAACAGAGTCTTCAGAATCATCGCGTCCGCTACATCAACCACTTGAAACTGAAAGAATAGAAATGGTTTCTGTTTATGTACGTTGAGCGAGCGTGTGTGTGTGTGTACTTGCACTGAGACTTGAATACTACACAGTTTTAATTGTTTATAGTTTGGTATGCACAGAAATTAGTCACTAGTACGCTGGGAAAGTACCAATGCACCTTCGCCATTCCTCAGCAACGTGTGGGACATACAGAAGGCAACTGACAGCAACGATTCCAGAACCGCTCGCTATTCCGAATAAACACAAAACATAAATAAGACAACATAATATACAGATGGGACTGGTCGACCGAGATGGATATATTGCTCAACGATACATTATACTTATATAGCTAACAGCCTACCTCGTCAAGACACAGAAGCCTAACGTTTTCAGCAATCATCGCAGCCACCGCCTCTAGTGGTTGGCCATCGTAGTCCGATTGAGATCGCACATAATGCAACTTAGCGTGCACCTGATACACGATTGAATGAAGCTGGTCAGAATAGAATGAGGACAAATGTGTGTCGATGCCAAAAACTCTACACAAAACAAACTCTGGAACGCTCTTCCTAAGCTGCAACACGCATCTTCATCACAAATACAACCTCTATACTTCCGAACACACGCTTCTGGGCAACTACACGCTCGATGCACTGGCCTTTTGACGTCCGTGGAACTAACATACACACCTCACACTTATAACTTCTTAAAAACAATTTATATCAGTCACCCCAGATGGTTTCATTATTGAATTTCCTTTGGTATTTGCGCTCATTGGGAGTACAGAGAAACAGTGAGAGCTCTGTTGTATAGATATTTTGCTCCGACGATACTCGCACCGGGGTAAATGAACATACATATCCATGCCAAATACCACGTATTAATGCACAGAAGGCAGTACGCTCCGATATACTAGAAACATAAACTTCGGATAAGAGAAAGACAAAATTACTTTTCTACACCGCAGACGTTCGTGGGTGCGACCTACTTCAAGCATAAACTCATGAAAATGCAGTCTCCTCTTCGGTATGCAGTCACCATCTACGCTGGCGAAGAACATGTCGACCAACAAGCTCTTTCCTGTTCCGACTCCACCATACACGTACACTCCTGTGTCCAGTGCCACAAAGAGCAAAGTCAATTTGGGATGTTTGTCATAGTATGAGCATCTCCGAACACTTCGGCGGTGCATAGCAAAGGCTCGTACTAAAAGCAACCACGCATTGTATATAGGAACCCAGCACTGTGTGTGCTAACCAGCGCACTCACCGCTAGGTTTTCTTTGTGGAATGCAGCAAATATGTTATGAGAAAAGTTAGGATGAAGAACTTGAAATATATATTATAGGCATACCTCCTGGTCCAGCTACCTCGTCTAGTGGCCCGGACTTCCCATATCGCTTTGTGATCTGATGTTGAAATAAAACTACGCGGTCAGTGTATTTCATTAAGCAACCTCACATTCAACATGGGATGCAGACTATGCAAATTAAAAACAATCAAATAATTCAACGGCTCCTAAAGA